ATCTTCCTTGCAATTTGGTATCAGAGCTGTGGTACGTTTGCGCTCATCTGGCGCTTGTCTTCTGCCTGGTACGGTACATACATGCGGTCTGCTTGGCGAGTTTGGCCGTAAGTGGTGTGTAGTGAGGAGGGCGGAGGCGAGTGAGTGGCGACCCAGGAGGTGAGGGGATCGCCAGGAAGGCTACGTGGGGGTAATGTGGTCTGGACAGTGTGATGAGAACTATCTAATGTGTGATTGATGCTGAGGTGGAACGACGAGATAATGCTGGTTGTGCCGATGCAGTGACTGGTCATCGCAATCACCATTTGATCATCTGGTGAGATTATCTCTGTGGTTGGGGGCAGCTATTTGAGGTATGTTGCTCTTAACCTTATCTACCCTCTCCGACACTTCTTACCGTGAGGTTGTGTGTTCCTTCTTGAGAGTCCTCTCATTGTGAGGTGTCGAGTGCGCTCAACCTTGAGAGTCGGCAATGTTCACGTGGAGCATCTGGGAAAAGATGGGCGGAAGGACTCAAAGGTGTGATACTCGAGGCGTGCCTTGCTGGCCAACTGTGTTTTGAGATTCTCTGGGAGACATCTCACAAACATGGTCAATAGGACCTGGTCATCATAGCGAATGCCTGGGACTACGATGAGATTCTCCACGGTAGTCGTAAGCTCCCTAACAGACTTGTACCGTCGCTGGTCTAGTCTTATAATGGCGTCAGTAGCAATCTGTGCCTGCTGCGGATTATGCCAGCGAGCTTCTACCATGTCTATGAACTCATCTAACGTCATGGTCTTAGCCCAATCTGCCATGCGTCTTCCAAACCCAGCTTTCGCTATAATCCCGTCTAGCCATTTGGCTGCCTTACCCTCAAGGTAAGATGCAGCAGTAATCACCTCCTCCTCTTGCAAAGTCCTCTTTGCCCTTACCCACATTGGAACCGTTCTCAACCATGTGTTGAGCTCCTCGTCCTTCTCATGAGAGAAGAGAGAAGGCGACAGGTGGTTTCATTGGGGTCTTTGGGTACCATGGGCCTTGCTGTTGTCCCTGTGGTGGAACAGGTTGCTGCTGCGGTGATGGAGTAGCTGCCACCGCAGGACCGGAAGAAGTAGAAGCAACAGTCTGAGACGCTGCTGCTGACGAACCGCTTGGTTGTGTGCCAGCATGGGGGTAGGTGYCTATCAGCGCCGACATAGGGAGCGRCGATCTTGCWACTGCGGGCAGCCTTGGTCCTAGCTGYTGCAACTGAGCCAATATCTGATCCAAAGTGTCCTGCATGAAGTCCATCCTACTGTCTACATGYGCATGCAACGACAGCAAGCTAGACCTCAACACTTTTACATGGTCGTTCATAGTTGACTCATCCATTGCCTCTAGTGCAGTTTTGTCGGCCTCTACCGTTTCCAATCTGACTGTTCTATCTCTAATCTCCTTTTCTCTATCAGCAGCTTCCTTGAGTTCCCTCTCTAGCCTTGTGCGAATCCTTTCAACTTGCTGGAGTTCCCTCAACTCCCGCTGGCGTGGGGTCAGTGGGCTTAACTGCGAGCCCGCCATTTGATTGGTGGAGTGACTAGAACCTGTGACACTTGAACTACCCGCGGACCCAGTGGGCATGCCCAACTGAGTGGCAGACGAGGTGGCACCATTGGTTGCTGCCGCGGAAGCCATTGCTGCTGCCGCAGCTTGCCTTGCTGCTGCTAACTCTTGTGCAACAGCTGCTGCTGTCCTCACGCTCGCTACTCGAGCACGGGCTATAGCTTCGGCTCTTAGCCGTCTCTCTGTATTTGTGTCCAGGTACTGAAACACGTATGGGATCCTACGTGATCTCGATCGTGTTACTCTACCATCGTCAACTCTACCCTCCTCCCTGTCTGATTCACTCATGAGCTATGCATACACTGTCTGCACTAGAACCTTCTAGAGAAGTCCTACCACAGCATATGTTTGACCGGCACTTAATTTTCTAAAAATAGTTTGTGTCCGGCAGGAAACCAAATGCTACCATTTCAAGCGGTTGTCAATAACATTATCACTGACTGTACACATAATCTAATCCTACCATTGATTAGTTCACTTACAACAGCTTGAGATAGAACCAGCTATGGTAGTATACAACTGTCCTACTCTAAGCTGTCTGTGAGGTGTTAGCAGTCTGTCCACCAACTAATCAAAACAATAAAATTAAATCATGTTGCAGATGTATGTATGGTGGAAATGGTTGTGTTTACAGTTGAGCACCAATTATAACCTACCCTCCCCTCAATCCAACATACCGAAAAACATCTTTGAGCAGCAGTGTCTTCGTGTGTAATGTCGGCCCACCCCTGTGCCCCAAGTCATTGCCGAGCAAGCAAGTCCATCCACTCTTATTTACCCTCGTACGGAACGAGCCTTACTACCCGGATTGATCTGGCTGATCAAGAGGGATTTAAGGAGAGTCTCCATCTCCTCAGGAATTATTTAACGTCGCAGACAGGACGACGATCACAACCAGTATCAACCGAGTCCCCAACCAGAAGTATTTATAGACGGTCTGGTAAGCGTCTCTTATGGGCTGGCACACCCGACACGACTTCTATAGCGCAGCAAAGTGCCAAAATGGACAAGCAGCCATCGCATGCGTGACCTACTCCCATTGGGTTGGCATGGTGACCGTGACCCAAGTGCTTCGACCAGGGCCCTTCAGAGGCACCGCCCTTTCTCCTTCCAGATGCTTCCGGGAAGATTGTCGTCTCTCAAGGTAGCGGGCACACGACACCTCACCAAAAGAGAGGACTCTCAAGTTGGACTCACTTCCTCGCGGTAAGAAGAGATTGAGAGGGTAGATAAGGTAAGGGAACAACGTACCTGGAGATAGCTGCCCCCAACCACATATTTCTCACCAATTGATCTGAGTGTGCATTTGATGACCGGTCGTAGCCTCGGTACCACCCACAACGCAATGCAGTGCCACCTCAGCTAAATGCCACATCGGCATGCTCTCATCACCAATCATACATTCCGCTGTAACCACGGCAACCCATGCCGTATAGCCTTCCGGCGCACACCTCTCTACCCAGGTCGTGCGCCTAATGTTGGCCTGACGTCACAAGAACCAACTGCGAAGAAGCATCGTCAATGCACCAAGTCTGTATAACGCCAGCGCACCAAGGTAAGTGGCAAATCGAACCAGCTCCGATACCAAAATGCAAGGAACATGAATGTGGACGAAGCACAGAAATCCAGATTGCAAAATCGCACTGAAGTCCAAGTAGTCAAAGCAAGAGCAGATAGCACAATGGAACCGAGTAACCATCCATTTGAGAACGATACAGAAGAATCGTGAGTCAATGTCCAAGCCCAATCGGGCAACACCAACAGCATAACCCAATGTAGCTCTCTCTCTTGAATGGTGCCAGGCGCCCTATCTACTCTACAGCCTATCACTACAACTAAAGCATGAAAGCAACCAGACAACTTGACGACCAGCGAGTGATGATGTCAACACCAATTCCGACCTCCTCTCCACCAGGTACGTCTCTCTCTTCTCCCTCACTCTCCCTTGTTATCCCACACAGCGCCCTTCACCTCCGAAGAACCACCTTCGCCCTTCACCTCCTCTGCGCCCACAGGCAGCCCGGCTATGGCCGCCAGCGCCCTGCGCCCAGGCTGCGCTCTACCGCTTAGCGCCAGCCTGCCCTCACCCAGCCTAGCGCAGCGCAGGCACACTCGCAATGCAGCAGCGTGCCGGCCTTGTTCGCAATGGCCAAGATGCCTGCCCAGTCGCCCTCCCTGCGTGTGGGCGGCCTCCCTTGAGCCTGCGCCTGGGCCCCAGTACCTGTACCCAGGCCCAATGCGGTTGGGGCCCAGGAGATGCAGCTGCGCCCTGGCATTTCCGGCCTCTATATCCAGCATGCATTGTCGGCCTCACGTTTGTGTGCCCAGGGCCTAACCGACTCTGGGGCCCCGGGATTTCTGCATTTGCAGACATCCGATACTCGGTGCACTCCAACCAACTGGCGTGCGGCAACTGTATGGACCCCACTTCGTGAAATGTTTGGACAGATGGCTCTCATTGATTTGCTGGCCCGCCTTCACTTAGGGCGGGCACGAGGCTTGCTGGGGGCCTTAGCCCAGAACATGTACATCACGGCAAGGCCCCTTTGAGGGCTCAATCCTCACACACCCCAGCAGAAAGAGAAAGCACCAGCAGATAATCCAATTGATGAAGATGAGACGGTACCACCACAGATCAATAAATTGTTGAAGTAGTTGTCCAGATCTCAAGGAAAAACCCAAGGGGTTAAAAGCATCATATTGAGATAGAACCCTCAATGGGCCAATATATAGGATGTCAGCAAGGGAATTAGAGGAGCTGCTTGAACAGTTAGATCGTCCAGTATATAAGGGGTGGATTAAGCCAAACTCGTTGCCATACGGCGCACCAGTTTTGTCTGTTCCAAATGAGGAGGGAGAACTACGACTGTGTGTAAACTATTGTAAATGAAGTCATATAACTATGAACTAGTATGAAGAATGCAGAACCATTATCCCACATAGATGACTTACTTGACAGATTGTAAGGATTGAGGTACTTCTCAAAGATAGATTTGAAATTCGGGTATCACCAATAGCGAAGGAAGGTTAGTCAAAGACAACATTCAGGACTAGGTATAGACATTATGAGTTCAATGTGATGCCCTTTGGGTTGACCAATGCCCCTGCGACATTCCGGCGTTGTATGACTGAGCTAATGTCTTCCAGTTGAAAGCACAACTGCCCAAAAGCTGCGACCACGCCGAGACACACCAAGGCTGGGCCAACCTCCCAGCCCTGATGGAAGCAGAAGCGGACGAACCTGGGGCGCCTCACGCACGCGCGGATTATCGAGACACTAGAGGACACCACATCACGGGCTGATGTGGAAAGGAATCTGACACATGGCGCATTGTTACGTGTTCCGCACATGATTTTCATAGTCGCCACCTCTCTTATCGGGTGGCCTGTGACTCTTGTGACTATAGAGTGAGGGCTTCGGGTCTGCTATAGTCAGTGGAAATGAGCGGAGAATGTCCTGCGTAATCCGAAGTGTGGAAGGAGCGGCAGCTTTGGTGTTCGAGAAGGGCAATCACAAAAAAGACTGTCCCTATAAGGAGGAAAAGAATGGCGAGGTGAAGCGAGAGAGGTGAGATTGAATGATCTACAGAAGAAGGAAAGGGAATGTGATACGAGAATAGTGATGTGATACTTCAAGTATGAAGGTGAGATTGAATGATCTTCATAAACTTGACGTCGTCAACACGGTATTGCACTGGTCTGAATAGATAATGGGCACAGAAGAGTGGTAGCAAGGGATAACATATACAGTACGGGAAGAACGAGCGAGGGGAGAGCAGGAGGAATCATTGGTCATATAGGTTGAATACACGGAAGAGAGAAAGTGCATTCTGTGTCATGATTATGGTGGAATGCCGTTCAGATGCTTTTTGTAAGTCACACAATAGTATGAGTGGAAACGCACGGCACAGAAGTACATTGGCTGAATAGGCCAGGGACATAGAAGAACGTTTGGAAGGGAGAAATAGCATTATAATTTGCTGAAGGGGAAGAACGAGCGCTGGGTGTGCAGGAGGAAGAGTGCGTAAGTAGAGGTAAATAGGATCAATATATGGAAGAGAGAGAGAGTGATTGATGGAAAGATAATACTACTTGGTATCGTCAATACAGATAGATTGTGGATTTAGAAGAGTGCTTGGAAGGGAGAAATAGCATCTACACAAGGAGAAGAACTAGCGGTGACATCCCGCAGGACTTACCTCACTTGCTCGCGACAGCTGTCGGCTCGATCTGATGGTGTGAGTTTTGAGTGAGAGCAAGCAACGAGCAGGTAGGGACCGGCCATCCTGAGAGGTATTTTTTCTGTGCTTTATCGGAAGATTCATAATGCATCGGGCACTGCTGAAATGAAAGCAGTGATCTCGATCGCCTTCGATGCTCGTCGTTGTTTTCTCCCTCGCACTCGATCTTGTTTATCTCGATCGTGATCTCCTTCCTCTTGATTGTGGAACGAACCTAGCCAAGCCGATGGGCAGGAGCATTCGCGGGCTGGGTGTCGCAATGAGCTAGAACGAGAAAGACGAGAGCGGAACTCACCTGGCCGCCATGAAATTGTCCCCTCCCGTCTAGTTTGTGGTAGGTCGCGGCCAATGTAAATACATATTTCCATGTTCTAGCGGAAGATTGATTTTCATTCCGCCAACGGGAGTACGAGGCAAGCAGGGACAGCGCCTCACGTACGTGGGGATTATCGAGGCAATAGAGGATCACGGGCTGATGTGGAAAGGAATCTGACACGTGGTGCATTGTTCCGTATTCCGCACTTGTTTTTCATAATCGGGTGGCCTGTGACTCCTGTCACTATGGGGTGAGGGCTTTGGGTCTGCTATGGTCAGTGGAAATCACATGGGGGGTTGCTTTCAGCGTCATGAGTAGGATGGTATGCTGCTCGTTGGTGTTTGGTAATTCTCAAGTTAGAAGGCCAGAACATATATCAGTAATATGTGATCTGCACTTTCGTGAGTGGCGCTTCAAATACGAGGTGATTCTTGAATAGCATTTACTGAAGGAGAAGAATGTGCGCAGGGTGCGGAGGAGGAAAAGAGGTCACGAACGGGCAATATAGGCTAAAACTTCAACAGAAGGAAAAAATACAGGAGGAAGAGCGGTCACGTACGGGTAAATACGCTTAATAAGACGGGAGAGAGAGCTCGTTTGTGTTGTGTAATTCACACGGTTGATCTTTAATCTGGGATTTGCACGCTTATGAGTGGGGCTTCACGCACATGCGGATTCTCGAAGAAGCATTTACAGAAGGAGAAAAACGAGTGAAACGAGTGCTGGCTGCGCGGCATGAGAGTTTTCAGATGTATGAGCTCCACGCTCAGCAGAGAAATGGCCAGAGGAGGAAAGGTATTAGTGCATAGAGATGCTCGTACGGCACTGGTGTGTTGAAGTGTGAAAGCAGTGCAATGAGTAGTGGTTACATTCAAGATATCAAGAACGAACTGAGGAAAGTAGGTGAAAGGCTTCAGTCTCACGAACAGAAGGGGAGTAGCAAGTAAAGATGAGTATTCTCTAAGTAAGGCTGGAAGCTTGGGTGGAAGTGATGTCAGGATTAAAGGGAGGAGGCGAAGGGAGAAAGAAGAACAGATGACTATGAGGCATTGAGGCATTGAGGTATATTATAGGAAGAGGGAAAGTGAGGCAGAAGGACAATGAGCAAGGGATACATTCATACCATAGGAGGGAGTAGGGTGTGAAGTTGTCACGGAGTATTATACTCTCTCCACATTGATCGACAGAAGGGTGAAGGCATTCTTGTTTCTCAAAGTGTCAAGGGGTTAACAGGGAAAAGAAGTACTGCCGAGACAGATAGTCAGAAGTCAGGGCACTCGGAAGTGGAAGGAGTACAGGAGGAAGGAAGGTGAAGGATACCTAGGAAGTTAAGGAAGGAGGACAGGATTGCAAAGGAGTGGCAAGGCAGTGCAAGCTGACGGGATCGACTGGGGTTGCGTGTCTCGGGAGAGCTGAAAACAGGGTACGATCGCTCTATTGCTTCACCCATCATCCTTCCCTTGTATACCCCCTGATTGGTTCCCTCCTTGAAATGTGGAGTTCGTAATTGGACTTCACGGCCAGCTATCACTAATTTATCGAGCAATCATCATCAATCACCATCAATCACCATCATTCATCATCAATCATCATTAGTCTTTAAGTAATCATCGACAATCATCATCAATCATCATCATCATCAAACATCATCAATCATCACCAATTATTAAATAATCTTCAATTAATTGCATCAAGCATCACCAATTTCATCAATCATCATCAATCATCGCCAATCATCAATTGGCATTAATCATCAACCAGCATTAATCATCATTAATCATCAATCATCAATCATCAATCATCATTCATCAACAATCAATCAAGTAATAATAGGTCTCATGTTGAAGATTATTCACTAAATTTGTATTGTCATTGTATTTTGAAGTTCCTTGAGGCTAATCTGGTTTGGAGAACAGTCTGAGAAGGAAAGATATTTGCATAAAATGATTAGTTCCAGAAGAATGAGAGGAACAGATGCACTTTTGTTCTATCAGGGGGCTATGCGCCACACCCTGTTTCGACAGTTAGGCCCTTCCCCATATTCGAGGCCGTCAGTTCACCTGGTGGGAAGGTTGAGTGGGTTGCTGTCGGACCAGGGGGGCAAGCTCGTAACAAATGTACCTTGGATGAAAGAGGGATCTGGTACTTCAACAAGAGGAGAGGAGGGGGAAGGGGGAAAAGGGAGGTTGCAGCTGCCTGAAAGAATAACACAAGGGTCTTCACAAGTAAGGGGGGAGGTGTTAGTATCCAGGCCATATGACATTAACGAGTCAGGAAAGAATGTTCAGAGTGGTTTCTCTGACCGGAATGATCAGAAAGAACAGGCTCAAGACTTGGAAATGAAGGATGGAGATGATGAGGTTCTCACAGAAGAAGAAAGAGCGAGCGAACAAAGATCAGAATAGAGTCAGGACTCAAAAAAGGGCTCTAACAAAAATGCAGACTCGCCATCCTCCTCGTCCTCCCACAACTCTTCTCAACCATCGTGGGCGCAGAAGGTCAGAGCATCTCTTCTCGATAAAACACTTAATATCAAACGGCATACAATTGGATTGCCAGGCACCCAGGCGGAAGAATTGAAGGTACCACTACGAAATTTGTCGTCGGCTAGGGCCTACTTTCTCTCACTCTTCCTCCTCCCCTCTGAACAGTTAGTCTCGGAGCAAGGAGGGAGAAAGACACTGATAAAGTCTTACCCAACAGACAAACTGGACCAGAGGGATGAGATCTATATAAAGCATGCGAGTAATTGGATTATTTTATGATGATTGCGCCTACAAGTCTATTAATGATAAACTCAAATGGATTTGCAAAAGGCTTGAAATATTGAAGGACAGTCCAGAGGCGGTGTCTGAATTCTTTCTAATTCAGCCAATCTCTCCAACAGTGTTTACAGTACTATGTGTATTTGAACAGGATAAAAAGCAGATTGATGGTTGGAGAAAGGTATTATGGGATAGATCAGAAGTCAGAATATATCCCTGGTTACCTAGGAAGATAGGAGCGGACGAAAAAAGAGAACAGTTGATGAGGGATTTTTATTGGGTAGAATTCAGACAGAATTCAGACACATTCCTATTGAGGTACAAGCGGCCTTTGTCCATGATTTTGGGCAACAGTTCAAAATCGTGGATTTTATTGATCCACTTCCCACGTACGTCGCCAAGAGAGATGACCATCTGATGTTAGCCTTGGATTCACCTAAGGATCGGGTGTTCTCTTTAGATGATAGTGTTCCATTCAAGATGGGAGGTAGAATTTATCAGATTCATACCGCTCACAAATTTTGCCCCTGGTGTTTTTTTAAGTGCAAAGCTTATGCACACCTTAGCACGGAATTTGTTTGTCCAATTCATCCTCAGCATGCTTCTCCACAAGGAGTCAGACTAGAACGAGATCCACAACGCCCACACAGATGGATTCCAATGATTCAGGGTTATGAAGGGTGGGTATTCAGTGAGGACTTAAATCAAAATGGTCAGCAGATTGGATGGTTTTGGGAGGGTAGGGGAGACGTGCGTAAGACACCAAGACCACCGGCAGACTGGGTTCCACCCCAGGCTACTCAAGGCTCTCAAGCCTTGAAGACTGGACAGCCAAAGGTTAAAGGAGTACAAAGTGGAACTCCACAACCGCTAGGACACTCCAATATGGGGCATACGGTCAATTTCTCAGGAAAAGGAGGAGCAGGAGTGAGTTCACCTGGGCAAATAACGAACAGGGCGGCTATTTCCAATGTTCACCAAAAACAACAAGATACTCATGTTATGGAGAAGGGAAAGGCGGTTGTCAATGGTTTAAGGAGTATAGGTCCATCAATAACATTATACTTGCCTGCCATTGGCACACATCCAGGTAAAGAATGGAAAGAAGTTCGACGCAAAGAAAGTGGAAATGATAAGAAAGAATTGAGTTCTATGAAACAATCCGCATCGTCTACACATTCAGTACAATCAGTGCAATCTCAGCAGCCAGTGACAATGGAACAGGGGTTGCTAACTACAAACCAAT